CAACAAACCCGCTGGTTTAGATGGTGGTGTTTTGCGTCTTTGGCAATCTCGGCATGATTTGACATAGTGGTGCACCGAATCCATTAATTTAGGCCAATAATATATCTCACGGATTTTTGCCAAAGTCCGACTAATACTCAAACGGCCAGCCGTCGGGTCATCATGACACGCTTCCAAGATTTCTGCTCGCAGTGGTGATGGTACGAAAAGTAGGAACGTCTCACCACTGTGCTCGAAGTTACGCTTGTAGAGTACGTCATTCCGGAAGACATAGGAGGTTTATTCACGGACGAAAACTCGTGGTACCTCACTCTGCTAACCCTCTAAGTACCGGATAAGCGGGAGCAACTCCGGGTCTATTCGCTGAAGACGAGCTATCTCGGACGCGTTAAGAGCTCCAAGAAAGGGGTAATCTAGTTTTTGATCAGACGATGAAGACTTTACGGTGCACGTGATAGGCAATCTGCGTAATCGTGCTTGTGGCCGAACTTGTAGATGACGGTGATATCATGCTCCTGCAGACGCAGACTCCATCTAGCTAGCCTTCCTGAAAGGTCCTTAATATAGCCAACACAACGAATGATGATCGCCGATTGCTGGAAACGGTCTCCCGTACAAGTATGGGTGGAGCTTACTGATGACATATGAGGGCGAGCCATTCTATTTCCGTCGCGGAGTAATATAACTCGGCATAGATAGCGTGCGGCTCACGTATGCGATAACTTTTTCTTGCCCATTTCGCCACTGAATAAGCATGGCGCCAAGCCCAACGTTACTCGCGTCGGTATGGATGTTCGTGCCAGCGTCCTCTTCAAAATGTGCAAGCATAGGGGGAAACTGCAAACGGTGTCGCAACACTGCGAAAGCTTCGTCTTGTTCTTCCCGCCATACGAATGGCACACTCTCTTTTGTTAGCCGGGTCAACGGTTCAGCGATCTTGGCGAAGTTTTCGACGAAGCGTCGGTAATATGCACACAGTCCCAGGAATCGTCTCACGGTTTTTTTTTTTTTTTTTTGTCTTGTGGCCTCGAAAAATTTTTAAACTGCTCTAATCTTTTTTCGGATCTGGGCGGACGCCTTCAGCACTAACAATGCCTGAGGAACCGAAGCTCGCGAAAGCCAAAGTGGTATTTTTCCGGCTTGGTAGTCAATGCTGCCGCGCGGATGGCATCCACTACTCTTCTCAGTCGGTGCACGTGCTCAGGTCCAAGAAAAAGCTACTACATCATCGAGATAGACGAGGCATATGACTGCCAATTGAGGCCAGAGAGGACATGTGTCCATCATCCTTTGGAAGGTAGTTTGAGCGGAACACAAACCAAAAGGGAGCACTATGAACTCGTAGAGTCCATCGGATGTCACGAAAGCCGTCTTTTCGCGATCTCGTTCATCCACCTTCAATTTGTCCCTATCCACTCTTCAAATCCAACGATTGAAAACAAATTAGCATTGCGTAACTTATCCAAAGTATCGCCGATTCTTGGTAGTGGATAAACATCCCGCTTCGTGACGAAGTTCAGTTTTCTGTAGTCAACGCAGAATCGCAGGCTTTTGTCCTTCTTCTTGAGCAGTACCACAGGTGATGCCCACGAACTATACTGGATGGCTGTGTTACGTCGTCCTTCAACATTTCCTGCACTTGTTTCTTAACCGCTTCCCGTTCTTTGGGACTATCGGTATGGACGCTGATGCACGGGTCTAACGTTTTCTGAAACTACAATACGGTGTTTCGCGACGGGAGTACGTCCAACTTTCGACGAAGTGGAAAAGCACTGCGCTGAATTCTTCGATCAGGTTCTCAAGCTGCTCTCGTGGAAAGCTCTCCAGTCAAGGTATATTGATTTAAGGATGGTGTTGACTGTCGCAGAAGCTGGCGGGACTTCATCAAGAGCACAAACATTGGCTATTTGCACATATTCGTGCAGGGACGCTATGGCTGTCCCCTTCGCCACGTGTTGTACTTCATTGCCAAAGTTCGTCAATAGGACATTCGCACATCCGTCACGAAGGTTCACCAGACCTCGCGCCACGCATATTCCCTTTTCGATCAGAAGTCCGATGTTTACATTTTTACGTTTGGTCCGGCAATTCGTCTGGGCAGACGCCATTGTGCGTAAGCTGGATCTACTAGGGAGGCTTTCAAACCAATCGGCGCCCAGGCTGCAAGACGCTGTCCGGTAGATGTTCCAGGAAACAGTCGGGTCTCAACGGAAGCTTCGCGAGGCAAGCCTTTTGTTGAACGGGCTCGAACAGCGGGTGAACGGCGCCACTGTGGCGGGTCTCTATAAGTCAACCTCTTGACTCGGCTTTTGTCATCTACGCGAGGCCATCTCAGCGCACCGACAGCCCGGAAGCGTGGGAACACGTCGAAGCCGTTCACCTGAAATCGAGCGTTTGGACTTGTCCGAAGCTGAAAGCAGCGTGGGCCGCTGCTGACGGTCGGGTTAGCGGCCATCTCCCCGGAGGAGCTCAACTTTCCCTGTCCGGGCTCTACTTCCTCGCCCTGCGGTGCCTTCAAGGCTGTGAGCCAGGTGCCTGTTTGTGTGGTGCGTTCCTGTTACCATCGAACCGTTTCGCCCAGCCGAGTGGTGCAATATCTGCACCCTTTCTGTTGGGTGGACCACAAAGACTTCGTCCCCTGCTTTGTGGCAAGAGTGATCAGCGCCTCCTTCGGACGGCGGGCTATAAAAGCCGAAGCATTTTGTAAATAGTGCTGAATCTTGAGTGCAATCGTGAGCTGAATCATGAACAGACTTTCGGTTGTACATATTGCGGGATCTTCTGGATCCTTGTACAGTTCCTATCCTTTCTTCCGTAATGTAATAAATCTTCGTTCTACCTCTACTAACGCGTCTCCTCACTGGCAAAGATCAGCTATGCGGACGACAGGCGAGGAGCCAGCTACCCTAATGAGAACCTGCCGTTCCTGCCATCACTACCTTCCTACCCTTTACACCATTCACTAACCCACAATAACAACGGAAAACGTCACTTTTCAGAAGGACTGTCACACTGCAACGTGGCAGTACTGTCACACCTTCGTCAACAACACGGAGAGGTGAAATGACTGGTTGTTACGTATGGCACGTTACGACTGCATTTTCTGTAGAAAACGAAACTTTAAATTCTTGCTAAGTCAATTATTACGCTCTTTTCTTGCAAGAAGTCCATACCAGTTCACGGGAACACTCCGGGAGGTCAATAAAACTGCCGGCGTACACAAATCTTTTAACTCTTATTCTTGCTGTACACAATTTTACGGGGCGGATCAAGTGCCCTCCGGCGGTGTGTATGTGAGGTACGGTACACTATGTCAGCACCTTTTTCAACTTCTTTGCGAGGACACTACTGAATACGGAGTAGTCTGCACCAGTGTCTATCAGCGCAACAGCCTCGAGGTCGTCGATGGTGACTAACAGTTCGGAGGTAACGTCACCATTACTGTACTTATCCGTCGTTCCATAACTGCAGTCGTCTGGTCGGGAATATCTATATATATATATATATATATATATATATATATATATATATATATATATATATCAGCGAAAGAAGTGTATACCCAAGAACTCGTTTTTCCGTGTTTTGACACAATAATAATGAGATCCAACAGACAACAATGCCAAGGAATGTATACGGGAAGTTATTAGAACCAATGTAATGTAAACAAGAAGAAAGAAAAGTGGTTGAAAAATAACTTGCCGTGAGCGGGAAACGAACCTACGACCTTCGAATAATGCGTCCGATGCTCTAACCACTGAGCTGTCACAGCGACCATACCCCCAGCCACTTTATTGGGTTTATGTGTGAATTTAAACGTGGAAGTGTCAGTCAGCGCCATCTGTAGCCATAGTGGCGAGTGTGGAACACCCTTTTATGAGCCTGTGTGGCGTCACGTAACACGTGAACTTGTTACGAGCGGGCAGCTGACCAATATCCCTCGTATACAACCAAACGGCACCAAGTTTGCCAGTACGAGACCCTCATCAATGAATAAGGGAAAGAAGTGTGTACCCAAGGGCTCATTTTTCAATGTTTTGACACAATATTAATGAGATCCAACAGACAACAATGCCAAGGAATGTATAATGTAAACAATAGACAAAATGTTCCTGTGGGAACAAGAATGAACCGATTTACCCTCGTTCGGGGCTGCTTGTGCATCTCTTTCTATGCATACACACGACAAATGTAAACTCTTATTGGGGGGTGTGTGGGGTGTTGAAACCCCTCAAAACCTCCTACTGTCAGCGCACTCAAACTTGAAGTTGTTTTTGTCACTACTGAACAATGCTTTTCTTTTTACCTCGCAAAGGGTGACTAAGTGTTCATCCTATCGAGCATGGTGTGTCACTACCTCCGTCAACTTGAGTCCCCAGAACCAAGAAACTTTGTTTCGTCAATAGTGCAGCAGACTGTTGGTTTCTAATTGAGTGTGTTTTCTTGAGTAACTCTACAATCTTTACTGAAGGCATTTAAGCAAGTTAAATCCTTGAAGTAGGAACATGTAGAAAAAAAATATATTGCTTAGAGTATTAAATATAATGCTGAAGATCTGGTCAACGTGAAGCTATTACAGTGAACTAGCAGTGTTATAGGTGCAAATATAAATTGCATTACTGGAATACATTATGATGGACTGCTTATTTTGGATCACAAATACGAAGCGAATACATATTTCTGCACAAGGGCTTCCTGCACTGTGTCTGGTTTCCAAAATACTTCGAAAACGCATCTACACTGAATGAACGAGTGGTGCTCAATACCGCAGCACCATGATAGCGATGATTGAAGGAGCACCGAACCTGCACTGAAACACCGCTAAGCGTGAAATTACAAATACAACTATAGTCAAAACAGCTTCAAGTAATAGATGGCTCTCTATGTTGCCACCACCTGCAACTTTGACGATGGGCAGCACCATGCTGCAATACGTATTGAGCACGATTGCGTATCTCTAAGCGGCACAGCACGGCAGTTTAAGAAACTAGACAGGAGGCTGCATAATGAAGTTTGTCTTTATTTATGGAAATCCAACAGTGTCGTTCTTTTTTTCTAAATGACCGAGCAGAACTGGTCCGAGGTTGTGTTGTCATGCAAATTTTTTTAAACGCTGGCTCTTGTCTCCATGTGCGGCAAAATGTTAAGTAACTGCAAAAAGTATGTCCTTTTTTCCTGTGTAAAACGCTGGCGATGGTAGGTGGGACATGCGACACTGGTACAGGCTTCAGGCAACCAGTCGACCTGCAGCTGACAACCATTAATGTGGGAGGGGGCGCCACCTTTTTGAAAGCGACAGTGTAAAACACATAGACAGTTGCAGAAATGGTCGCCTGCTAGCTTTTGGACGGTCGCCTCAACCTGCGAGGGTGTCGCACTGAGCCGACTCAACTGACAACGCTTTCAGTTGTCTTCTTTTTCAGAGTCGGCACGACGAGTGTCTCTGCCGGTTCTATAAAATTAGGAGCAATGATCCCAAAGGAACTTCCCCATGAGCACAGCAGCGATGAATGCAAATTGCGCCTTGTGGTGTACCAAGCACCCAAAAAATAAAGAGTTGCGGAGTAAAAAAAAAAGGAGTAATGCGTTACTTTGTCTTCTGTCGAGAAAAGAAGTTCAGTCATGGGGGTGACATTACAGATGAGGCATTAAAGTGTTTCTCTTCCCCCTGTCAATCGAATTCGTCACATGCTGCCTAACTAACGCACATACGAGAGTCTGCTGAAGACACCTCGGACACGTAAACGAAGGAGCCCACAACGACACAAACTCGCAAGAAAACTGATTGCTCTTGTAGCGGGCCGACCCCCGACCTCACCACTACCTGTAGGAGAAGCCGCAATGCTCATCCTAGAGAATAAACACACAAATACTCTTTACTAGTACAAACAACACATGTCTTGGCAATTCACAGCTGAGGCAGTAAAAACAACATTCAATAAGAAAGCACAAACCTGCTTAACCGTCGTTGACACATTTGTTTTTTCTTCATGCTATCATTTGAAGCGCGAGACAAAACTACAACAGACCAATAGTACTGCTCTGGCTCTCCCCCATTTTGCCGATCACCTAAACTTTTGTATGTACAGTCTCTCCCGCTTCTCAACGGAACAAATACAATCGCACACTTACACCGCGAGGTTCTATTGTTGTTGAAACGTGTACAGGGGACGCTCACATTCATGGGGAAACCATTCGGCGACACATTTACAAAACTATTGTTAATAATGCTTTTTCACTTGGCTGGCCAGCAAGCAGGTGCCATTGAGGGTAGCAAGTACTAGAAACACAATGCAACCGGCATCGCAATGGCCGACAGCAGGCATCAACTAAGACATATTTTGTGAATGTGCATTTACGTCGGTATACACGATGCGAGAACGTGTTTAATTTTCTTTCTCGTCATAATAACAAGACCGATATGATGCCTGATGTGGGCACTTGTCACTATTAGATTTGCGTGTGGCCACTGCAAAATTCCAGCACCTAAAGCTTTTTTGACAGCAATGCGACGTTTCCCCAGAAAAGTGACGTCCCCTACATCACTGTAACACTTTTTTTTTCACAATATTCTAGTTTCCCCTTCGGCCGTTTTAGGGAAGACGCGTCCACTGTACACATTCCTGCTCCAAAAATCAAGTTCTATCATGCTCTATATAAAGAACGTGCAACGCGACAAGAGCTTTAAAAGAAGAATGCGGTTCAACCAAATGAGTTTGAAGCAACATACCTGCCTACAACATTTTTTTTCCACTACAGTAACAATCACATCTCTTTGAAACAGTACACATGACAAAAAAAAATAAGGTTGCACAGGCTTTTCCGCATGCGGGTGGGTTCAAATATATGCAGAGAAAAAAAACTCCCAACACCGTACTTAGCCCAGAAAGAACCACACAGGCCAAGACAGAGTTCTAACGCCATTACCACCCCATCGTGAGCGTCAAAAACGTACCTTCCAGCAACCTTGTACGCAAAGCACTGCTGATCAACACAGAGCCTACTCAATGAGAAAGCACTTTCGCAGCCAAGACATAATCAACTTATCGCCACGACAAACATCAGAACACTTGAACAATGCCAGGTTATTAGCAACACCGAGCTAGCTTGATTTTTTTAGTGCGAGACGTAGAAGAGGCACGAAGCAACCAAACCCTTGTATGTGAAAACTTTTTATCAATAATTTTGTATCAACAAAAGGAAAAATGGACAACAAGGTAAGCAGTCGGCACACAATGAACAGCACTTACAGCTCCCAGCATTACAGATGACACGTCAACTTGAAGCAGCGCGCTGCTGTTTACAACCAGAGATTGCAGACCACAAGGCTTATGCAAGATGAGTTTCACGATGCACTGATATTGAAAAAACTAGTTTCAGTCCGACACGTCGGAAAATCGCCAACCAACAAACTACGAGCAGATCTTGGGCATGGTCACATGGTACTCTGCTGTGGCCCAACAATCATTCCAACATTCCGAGAAAAACTCAGGCACTCCAAGCCATTAATTGGGTTCGCACTAGGTAAAATAACTTTTCCCATTGTCATCGAAAACACTATGGCTGTTAGGACATCAAACCAACTACTACTCGTTGAACTACAAGCATGTAATTAGCATGCATTCAAGCCTGTCACTCAAAGCACAAAAAAAAAAGATCGATACATGCATATAATGAAAGATTTTACAAAGCTGCGAGACGCAATGACGATTCCAGGAAAAGCTCCACAATTCATCAAAATAACACTGTCTTGCCATTAATCGATAGTTTCCGCACAGCTCACCACTACACTAATAGGCTATGAGGTACAAGCAAGAACTAGAATATGTAGAGCTCAAAGGCAGCCCTGGAGGCCTTAATATGACCTGAATACGAGGAAATGCTACCAACTCCCAAATAAATACACAAGTTCTTCTAATGGATCAACAAAACACCTCTGCAACAAACACCAACTTTCATGCCCTCTTGTACCAATTAGTGCCTTACAGTTCGCAAAAGCACAGGATAAGCCAAAAAGAAAATCATTTGCGCTTACACGTAATATAATATGATTGGACCTTTCAACAAACTTTGATGCCTACTTTCTTTGACGTATATAGTTTTGATTTCACCTCTGCTCTGATCATTCTTATTGCCGCAGGCCATTCAAGCCCATCTGGACAACGTATTTGCATCGAGCTTGTACTTCGTCATGTCAGATTTGCATGTCAAATAAATGAACGTAGTTGTCCCTACAAAACACGGCAGTCTTTGAATCTAGAATACTGCCAAGAGCCAACTGCTATGATGTCCTTTTTGGTATTGTTTGCTACATAATCAAATAAGTGTTGGCCCTACTCTCACATACTGCACTATCGGGCTACTTCAAGCACTTTCAGGTATGCACAGTGGGCATTTTTTTTTCAACTGCAGATGGATACGTATCATATTAATTTCACTGCTCAGAGTTCATCTGACTAGTTGCTCGGCATATTATTCAACAATTTTTTTACGGTACATCACTATGCTTTGCATAGTGAGGCCTTCCATCCTACATTTGATCTGTCGCTATGCGGTTTTCATGCTGCAAACGTCACATCGCAACAGGTGTTCTTATTGCCGTTGCTTCACAAAAGTACCTGCAATACTGCTAAATTCTGTCTGCAGACATTCCATTCGCCACCCGAGTCAACAAATAAAAATAAACAAATAATACTACATTGGACCGACAATGACTCGAAGTTGAAAATGCCAGCACACACACAAAAAAATGTAATCTTCGGTGCACAAAGTTTGGCTCAATAGTCCGCTAAGACCAAGTGACTAAACAGGTTTGTTAATCAAGCCTCCACCATTAAGAAAAGTGCTTACCAGTGGATTAGTTCAGAAACAGTGTTAAAAAAATGCCTCTTCTTGGTTAGCATATCAAATGGCTCACGAGAAACCTGATATTTGTCAACGTCAAATTGTATGCAAGGTGACAATATGAGAAGAATTTGCATCCATTGAAACAGATGTCATTCATGCAGCATTGCTTTCGTCACATACACATGCCTCTACAGTTGCACACTACAGTCCCTAGCACACACACACACACACACAACACATGCAAAACACATCACATAAGCACAGGACAGGTACACCAGTCAAATGTTAAACACATAGCTCTTGATGGCATCGCGATGGAGTGCTTCAAAATATGCAATGGCAACACTGATCGTATGCGACAGTAAAGATTCGATAGAAACCATTTGAAAGCCCACTGAAAATACTGCCGATGCGACACGTAAACTTGATGTAGCAGCAGAGCCCTTGTATTTAGTTTAAACTTAATCTACCCGACGCTATTGGCATGACTGGTGAAATCAGTCAGAATCAAAAAAGTGATCAAAATGTCTACAAAATCGATAATGTCGTGACACTGCCTTGGTGTGCGTTGTGCATGCAGCAGGGTACACCATAAAAGAAAGCAAAAATTTTGACCTCCACTGAGCAAGTGACCATCGGTCGTTAATACTATTAAGCTATTGCACAGGCATCGCTTTTGCACACCAGTTCTTTAACAAATACAAAATAAGAGCCGCATCATAAAATGTGGAAAAACCAACTAGTATTGGCCAAGCCTCGTCTTTAAATTTGCCTATAACACAAGTACACCTTAATCACATTAATCACATGTGATACTTGTTATAAGTGTGCATCCTCTGTGTGCAGATGCTGCAAAAAAGGTTTGCGACTATTTCTTTATGTCAGGTAATTTGTTATGTCGAGTAATTCGTTGCGTAAAGGTTCAACTATACCTAATGCACAGTCAAGATATACAACAGCAGTCACTGCTACGTTCGTCAACACTGCACCATACAAGGGCCCCACATACTCATCATCGGGAAAAGCAAAGTCGCGCAACAACCTCGCCACAGCTTCGAGAAGAACACCATGCACGCAAACCAGAGTGTAAGGCAGCTGTGACAGCCCGGGGCGCACAACCATAAGTCGTCTCCAAACGCCACAACACTAGCAAATTTAAGTAACGCATATGTAGTGCTCGCAACAGCAACCTGCGGTAAGAGCGGCACATTTTGCACAGATGGTGCGTGCACTTCTGCTCATGTGCGCTATGCAAAGTACAGTGTTCTTGCGTACGCGACACTGTGACAGGATCTACGTACGCAGCGTTAAAATTTGCTTCGCAGCGTGTGCACGTAAGCACCACTCATGCCAGCAGACAGACGCTGTGCTCTGCTCGTGTGGCGAGGCTATTGGGACGGCAGCATGGTGACGACAAGACGGATTCGAGAGGATTAAACGTTAGGGGGAACTCCAGTGCTCTCCACAAGTTGGAGTTTCCTGTAATATCACAGTACAGCTTTGTCAGTATGGGGCAGTCAAAATACGATAACATGAACGTGTGCAGTCTATGACGAATATATATATGCGAGGATAGCGCCCAATGCTAGAAAGGGATTCGCAATGCAGATACTCAGCATGGTTAATGGGCAGAGTAGATGCAGTTAATGGGCTCTGTAAAAGATCCACTACGTAGACGGCAATCACGATATTAGAGTGTTTGTAGAAGAGAAAAACTACGGCACTCTATGCACAATCATTATGTGGCATAATCTAGACATAGTGACTTCCTATAAATTGCAAATATTAGCTTGCGGTTAGGTCGCATCTGGTTAAATGTGCCCTGCTCTAGCTTTAGAGCTTGGGAACGGCACTAAGAATGAGAAAATGCTTTCGTAACATCCGGCTGATTTAACACCCCAACAGCAAGCCGTGTAGTGCGTGTGAATCTGGCATCGTAGACAACGCATCATATCATTTCAAGACCTACTTTTTGACTATAACATTGGACGTTCTTAATGTGTGCAGGACATTGAAGCTTTGTTTACAAGAGTAATTTTGCAGTCTAAACCAACTTTCAAACATTCTTGCATAATCGCAACAGTGACATTCAATGGGAATCGGCACCAAATCTGTTGTAGATAAATGATGTTGGTGCTGCCAGCAGTGTCATAAATGTTGGCAGCTACATTTGCTGGCGTGCTCAGTAGCGATGCATGCAAAATCTCGAAAAAGTGTCAATATACCTGAAAGCTATTGTTTTACAATGCTACCCTTGCACACTGTTACATAACGAACTAACCGATGTGTCTAAAAGTCGTCACTAATTTCCCTCCCGTCAACCGCACTGAATAACCAAAAACAAAAGCTGTCGAACAGAGGTTTTCTTTTGTAAATACGAATTCCCATGTCAAAATTTGTATTCCTTCCAAGAGCTTCAGCAAACATCTCAGTGGGCCGTTCAATCGAAATATAAGCGTGTACACATGTCTTTTTCTTTTTCCTCACAATTTTTCACAGCAGAGTTTAGAAAGATGTCCCAGAAACATGCAACATGCATACTTTGACTGTGCCTAACCAATAGCACTTGAGAGAAAACGTGCACATGCACACAGCATACCACACACACAGAAAGCAGATGTCATTCAATGCTTGGGTCACACAACCAAGCAATCCTCTACATGCAGAAGAACGGTTTTTATTTGAATTGCCAGAATAGACTGTACAGGGCTAAGCCATTTAATGAAACCATTACGCTAGCGTCACTTTCGCAAAAGCTGAAACTTTCAACAGTCAATCAATTACTGCAAAGGCCACGTCTAAAGTTGGCTAAGGTTCAGTTGTGACACTAGATGAAACTAAATGGTGAAATAAGCAAGCTTTAGGCAAACATAGTAGCACAATGCACAACATTCGTGTTTTTGCTTCTCTGAGGAGTCCCATCTGTACAGCCATCTGACAAAGCCAGAAAGACACTTTTCTCAGCCTGTACGAAGCTTTAGCATGCTACTCGGTACTCAATTTCAATTTAGAGACTTCACAAAATGTCAAAATGTCTTCCTTCCGACGTACGAAACTTGTAGACACGACAGAAATAACAGCTACTACTAGCGATTGGCAATGCATTTCCTCTGAACACAAAAAACAGAGTGCACACAATTTCTCTCGGAGCAAGTGGTGCCACAGCAGATCGATACCATCTCCATGCGCAATAGTGGCAAGTGTGACAAGATGACCCTTTTTGGTACACATTGTGATGCTATAATAGATGCCATTCTACTGTTCATAAAGTATGCACGCACCCTGGCATGTTTGCACAATGCCAAAGCCTTCTTCAAACACTAGAGTCCCCGATAGATGGCAAAAATTGTGAAAGTAAAATCTCATAAAAACACTCCACTGATGTTTTTTTCAATGTGTCTGTACAAACTTCAACTTCAATGCGGCCTTTTGTCAGCGAGGAAAAAAATTCTCGGATTACACAATCGGGCCTAACACTGAGGTTCAAGCTCACACAATAGATTTCATCTTGATGACACCAATGAAAAATGTGCTTCTTCTAACACTCACTGAATATGCCCGCTCCAGCCAAAGAGCTTAGCAGTGGCCGAGATAAAGTGTTAACACAGCATGCCAGTAGAGACGGATAATCATTGAGCTGTCACAAGCTTACCTCTACAGTTGTCGATATCCACAGAATCCAAAAAAATTTATACTGAATTCAGATGGACTATTCAACGACCAAAGCTTCACACATCCTTGTAGAGATTGTGAAATACAGACAAATGGAGTACGAAAAGCCCGTTACAACTTGGAACTCAGGGTTAAAGTCGGAGGCAGCCTCGGGAGAGAGTGGGCAAAATATGTGAATGTCAGACTTAGTTCCTAGTGACAGCACCTTGATTCGGGTTAGTTGGTTCTTCTTGATGGTGTTCATAAAACACGCAAACCTGAAATCATCATAACGTGCCTCTACTGTCATGTGTGTGTTCCCTTTTGCCTTTGTCTTTTGACTGTTTTATGAACAGTGCTGCTTTCTGACCTTGCAAGGAGTACAGAGGCAAGCAAAAACAATTTTATTCGCCACAACTTAAACAAGAAATTCAATGTTCCACAGAACTGTTAATGAGACTGTGCCGCAAAGTATGTCACGGCAGCTAAAAGCCGGCAACAAACGTGCAGTTTTATGGTAGCGGCCGGGTATAACTACTCATTTGCATTGCTTTTCGAGAGGCACATCTTCCAAAGGCCAAAGATGGTCTCATTAAAAGCATTTGAGTTGAACATCAGATGCCTCGTGAATTTCTCCAACCTTTATCATAACAGCAATAAAGCCTTTATCATTACACCCACTTGTCAAGCGAACTTGCTTGACTTTGCTCAGCTGTCTGCTTGCCTAGGCAGTACAGCTTCCAGCTTTGGGACAGACTTTGCGTGCTTGTAGATACGCAGGAGTCGATAGGTTCCAAAGTCGACCGCTCTCTAAAGAAGATGGTAAAGTATTCGTGTGAGCAAAGAACCGTAACGCAAGTCACACAACAAAACTGACTCGCTAACACTGTTTGCGTGCTACCGCTAGAGCAGTACAGCATGCATGCATTACCATGAATATTTAATTAAATAAAAGTGCAGCGTTCGCAAGCTGATATCAGTTCCAAGTGTATGACAAATCTGGAGGACTGGTGACAACGGAACAAGATGCTGATCATGTCAAACAGATTCTCGGTGGCTTCGAACGTGCAGCTATGCCGAAAAAAGGTGTCGCGACTCGCGATCTCTCCACAGCTGCACTGCTGCTCCTTGGGTTCACGTGCACACAGTGAAATGTAGGAAAGCCTGAAAATTAAATTACACCTCGTGGAAAAAGGGGAAGACCGTCAATAACAGCTCGATGGTGCCAATAACAAAGCATTGCACTGTAGTTTGGGATTACCCCGACGAATCAGGAACATGGGCAGAACTCGTAAAAAAAAAAAAGAGATTAAAGAACAAAATTAGCAAGCTGTGCCTCTTATCATGCAACAGGCACACTGTCAGTCGAGGAGGCAAGGTGTCCAGGTACGTGTGTAAAATAAGGCTCCTACCCTAATCATTATTTTTTTTTTGCACTACACCCCTAACTTATCCAATCAAAATGGGGCCAATCATCTGGAACAAGACATCAATTATTAAGCTGATCCTGAATAACCCAATCGATCAAAAAGCTCAACTTTTCCATTTTTCAATCATGCAAGTTCTCGATGCCTTGTTGTGATTCTGTAAGCAGCTCTTCTTTTTCCAGATGGAAGTTACCAAAGAAACATCCTCGGGAGCGAATGTCGAAAAAATTCCGAGCTCTAAAATCGCAGCAGCATCCGACCTTCACACTTAGCTATTTTTTGCTTGACGTCTGTGAAGTGGCAACAGCAAGAATTTCGCACAAGCACATTCTCAGCCGAAATAAAGCTTCAACAGTAATTCAACACGGCGCACTTCGAATGGCAGGACTTGGAAGAAAAAAAAGTAAGTTACACGTAACAGCAATATTGGCAATGTAAAACAGTTTGAGTGCATGATGCAAGATATGCTGTAAATCAAGCCCAATCTTGATTCACCTCATCTTCTGAGCGGCAATTAGCCAGGACCTACGCAAGCCCAACAAAGTGCTAGCATTAAGCATACACACCGAGCCCTTACAGTAAGACATGTAACAAACAAAACCCAAAGTGGTCCATTGTAAGGCCATGCTAGAGATGCAAGCTAATTTTTGTCAAGAAGTACCTAAAATGCCATATTCTATCAATACTAATCGTACCTGTAATGTGGCGACCAACATTAGTTCATACAATGCCAATGTCTAGCAAAAAAAATTTGTTGTATTCAAATGTCTGTTTTCACAAAACCCAATATACGTCTAAAGTAGGCCTTGCTTCAGAAACGTGCACCGTCTCTGCACTTGTAAAGCAGGTCAACATATTTTGTCTAAATCCAGCATGGCCAGTGGTGCCATGATGTTGGGTCAGTTATGGCTCCACATTGGTTTGATGCTGTCGAGTGAATAGCTCCGCTAACAGATCATTAGACTAGCACAGGCCCGACTCCTTGCAGAGTCACTAGGCGTATATGACTCTAGTCCCCTCTGAGATCTTCAGATGGCAGTGCTTTCACACAAGACGAGACACAAAAGCGCCTCTCCAACGCCAGCTTTTGCAGTTGCACATTGTTTTTCAGGCACTGCGACACAGTACCCGTTGCATCCATTCATGAGTGAGCGCTTCTGTACCTAGTCCATCAAGACAACCGATGCTCGGCACTTCACCTTTTGCAAAGCAACCATTCGCACGAGCTATCGTCAATGTGTCCACCCAACTCTTCGTTCCCCTAGAAACAAGTATCGGTTCCAAGGCCAGCTTGGAATTTCTGTCCGCCCGAGCGCGTCCGAAATGCAAGAACACTCCATTGCGACAACAGCCAGAAAGACTGAAGCTCCTCACCTTGAAAGAAAACACCCGATGTTCAAAGTATCTGCGAATTTATCGCTGGAGACCCGTTATTCTCAAAGAAGAAACAAGAAAGCAGCACACCAACACTGCACAACATAAAAAAGAATGTCACTCATGCTCCCCTAGGTGCACTGCTCACAGTGTTAAAAAAGCAATCATGTTAGGAATCATTTCAAGCATATACACAAAGTTGTCGAAGCACCTACAAAAGTTTCCAAAAGTACCGTGCGCTCCTCACATTTGCGAGTGTTTCGAATAACTGTTATGCTAAAAGCTTTATAGCCAAGCTTTACGGAACTGAAGTCCGGCAATGCTCCTTGAGATAGAGAATATGCCTGCAGAGTCAGCCATGCCTAATCCAGATGCCCACTTTCAGTGATAGCATTAAATTTAAGCGTAATTGACTCAAGTACAAACTAGAAGCAGCAACAATGGGTGAACGTAAGCCCAAACGAGTAAACCAACGAGAACATTACCGGGCCAGACTCGCCGAACAGACTGCTGAGATGACAGAGGCTCACAGCATCAATTTCGTGAAGCGAAACGAAACGAACCACGAAGACATGCTCGCAAATTTCAGCTTAACATTGAAAAATTGGATGTGGCTACGTTGCAGCCGCGTTGTGCAATCTCACCGTTTCTGAAACGGAGACCTCACCTGTCAGAGAACGTTTTCATGCAATGCCTGGATGTGACTACACTTTGCAAATGCATGCATACTCATAAAAAATGTTTGTGCCTTTCTGCATCAAAAAGAAAAAATGTGTTCAAACAAAATTACATTTGCGATTCCTGTTTTAGGCTGAGGAAACACAAATCATTGAGTTTGCTCATTCGATTCATCCATTCTTTCTTTACTTTCTTGTCTTTCCGTAGCAGACTGCTTTATAAACACATCTTACAAGGTCGTTTTTGCAAGGATTACAGTACATTTAGCCATCACTTTCACCTTCTTGCAGAAATGACGCAGGATCAGCGGGAAACTTGCACTACTTTGGTACCCACAAAAAGATTGGCGGAGCGGTGGCATTACCACCATGCATGTGAAAAACACCTACGCGAGGAACGCACTCCTAACTGGACCAACCCTGCCTTCTCCCAACCTGCACTTTAAACATGTTTGGTCGCGTAAGGAGATGACCCAATGTTGTCACCACAAAACAAGAAGGCCTCTACAACGAATTGCAACGAACACATTGTCAATGAAGATCGTAAGCCGACAAACGGGCGGAGGCAGCAAGCGATTTGCGGGTATAACACAGAAATAAAGTGGTGTCAAGAATCTGTTGGTTGTGATGAAAGTTTAACGGATCGGTAAAGTTGGCGTGCGAGGCCTCTGCAACCAGCCTTCTAGGTGTGAATTATTAACCAAGCAACGGCAAAAGTGCTTATGCTTGATAAAAAAATATAAAAAAAAGACTCCACTAGGAAAAGGCATTCAGAAAGCATGCAGACTCTGAAATCATGAGTGTGATCAAACACCACAAGAGGAACCCGAAAATAGCTATGTATATACAAGCCTGTATATACCCACATGCCAAGGTCACCCACGCTTTGTGGCATAGCGCCTCTAGCAGCGGACAGTCGTAGGATGCTCGTAGCACCCTTGCGAAAGGAACGCTCTCAAAGCGAAGCCTCGCAAAAATGCACACTCCAGTTCAGGAACTGTTAACGCTAGACTCCCGACCATGAAGCGCCGTCATGCAAAAACTATGGTGCAACGTCATTCGCCAAACATCTCATCAGTAGTGCGAAAGTACACTGGTAATTATCCTGGTTTCTGACCAAGCTAACATTAGCCAGCTTGAAACATTGCCCATGATTCAGAGTGCTTGGTAGTAAGAACACGATGCTCCGAGAATCTATTCCCTTCCTTACGGTTACGCCAGCTCTCAAAACAAGGACAAAAAAAAACGAGGATTGAAACTCCTTACAGCAATCGCACTGCTGTGCCTACAGCTCCGTGAGCAGTTGAGTACTTCTTCCATGACAATCCGATTCTTTCGTACTTTCGTGCCTCCCAAACTCTTAGCCAAAAGCAGCCCATCGGCAAAACTGCAGGGTTCTCCTCGGCCCTCATCAAAGAACACTGCCAACATCCAAAGACAACTTCATTGCGCCAGACGATCAACAAACAATGTCTTTTTGACTCTCTGCTCCTTCAACAATGCAATACACTCTGAACAAACTTCAACAATACCGGTCAGCCTGAAGCTGCCGCTGCAAACAACAACCGTCACGAGACCAAGCGTCACAGACCTTACTTGACACACACAAAGCCTTTACTGCAAACCACAAATTGAGAACCTTTTTCCTCGGGTACCATTCTGTATGGGCGTCACTTTCACGAGTCACATCAGCTAGAGCAGCTTTCCCCGACAGACTACTGCGTTCAATAAATGGGCACGACTCAGTGTTACATTTTTTTCACATGCAGAGCCTCAACAATAGCATTCATAAAAATAAACAAACAGAGCATCAAAATAAAAACTCTGGCTCCGTATGAATGTTAGTCCAGCCGCATGTGTTTCAACAAGAACAAAATAATGATTTTACACGTGCAATGTTCAATTTTTGAATCACACCTTTGCTTCGCTCGACAAAGCTTAGTTAATTAGGAAAATGCTGATGTGCACGAGATCCCAATTGCATTAGAAACTTGCTTGAACATGCTTATCGTGTGAAACGAGAAAACACAATCAAACATGACACGATTCATAAATTGCTATCAACTGTTTCGAAAGCTGTGTTATAGCACTTATGTCATTAGTGACATCGATTCTGAATTACAATTTCGTTTTAGAGCGTATGATAGAGCTGTCACATGATACTCGGGGGAAAGTCTGTGAATACAGAGCCAATCACAGGGGCACATAAGTGCACCTGTCATCCCTGACTAGGAGACGTTCTAGGCTTAGCAACGTCGAAAGAGCCATCCTACGAGGGAACCCCACCTCAGCGCGTGCCTACAAGGGCCTGTGACGCCGGGTCGCCGTGCCTTCCTTTGAAAAAACTTGACCTACACACCTCTGTCTCTCTCTCACACCTCTCACTCTGTCCTATATCACCGGGCATCATTGACTGGCACGTTTCCCAGTGGCTCGTAACGACTCCAGGGCTCACAAAGATACTGACGTGACATTTTCAACCATTGTCGGTCTCTTGTGAAGCAGGTCCGCAGCTAGTCCCGAATAAGATCAACCCCACTGGTTCGCAGTCATGATTGCTCCTACCAACCGGTTTCAGCACAGCTGATACGAATGAGCCTCTACACTTTCGCAAAGCGACCAAATCGGCGCACACCTGAAGCAACACGTGCAGCACCCTTTTCAAGATTCTTAATGACTAATGACATCATAGCTGATATTTATTGCTGCACAGTGTTGGAAAATTTTCCTTCGTGCCACGATGTTTCGCATTCAGAAGCCAAGTTTTCCTCAAAATTAAGATGTCTAGAATGTTTCCCGACCTTAGCTGCCTAGTGTTGTCCTTTCACACGCAAGAAACATGCAGCAGAGTCGCTACAACTTTGAAAACGCTCGTCCCTATATTTTTTCGACGGTCTTCGGGGTGCCCGTGCACAGTACACCTTTCGGGACCATTCAAGACCACCCAGCTACCCAGCTACCCCCGAGCAGCGATTCTCAAACGTGCATCTGCTGACCCTCCAAGCACTTTTAACTTGTCACGCGCAGCAAAGAGCCCGAGATGGCAAACTTTCAAGGCTAGAAACGCCCTATTGACACACTCCTCATGCCATTCCGGTAAGTCCACATGATTTCAGAGCAACTTTATGGAGCCACATGCACATTCCACATAAATTCCATTAAGTTTCCACAACGTAATGGACAACATATGGAATTATCGGAATGCATATGGAACTTCTCAATAGAGATAACGAGAGTGACAGCTGTACAAATTAGGGCTCGGTTTGTATTCTATACACTGCCTTCTGACGTTTCCAAAAGTATCTCTTTTAAGAACGGCAGATAATTTGACACATTCCTTATAGGCTACTTAATCTGAACACTTAGCAAAATAAAGTAATGCAGAGCACCCCAAGCAACTCCCATGCATAAACGGTATGATACTTTTATTTTATCCAAACAACATAGATAATAACTTTAGATGAATTCTCCACACTATTCTTGCATTGGACTTATTTTGTACAGCTATTTTACTCTTTCAAAATTTTTGAACCTTGCGATGTGTCCTTTTAGCTAAGCGATACATATTGTGATGCCTTTCTGCTTTGTGTGGCCTTCAAATCAGTCCAGCGTGGTCTTTCCTAAAGGTGTGAGCATAGTGTGTAAGCTGATGTTAAGTGCTTACTTTTTAAACGTCCTGCCATCACTTTTCAATGCTGCACGCAGGATCTTGAGCACAAGCACATCAAAAAACGCTGTCCTGGGTCGCAAATGCCACATTTCGGCAGCACAGGATCATCGAATACGCAACGCGACCAAGGCCTCGACAAACAAGCAATGACTGCTAGGATCTTGAGAGTTCTAGACGACACACTGATAACTTTGCACAGAAGCCGGTCAGCCCTGGAGCCATGACGTGCCACCGAATATTCAACTCTCTTTAAAACCTTCGATTCTCCACACTTCTTTCTCTCACTTGGAGTCATCGCAAACCCTGTCTCGCCAATGCTCCCAAAGTCACACATCCCTTCTCGCCATCTAAACTCACTCGCTCCCATTCTCTCGGCTGTGCTTCGTATGAGCGTCGCCTCCACAGGCGTGAGACCGCACGGCAGCGCAACATCACCGGGACGTCAGCCGTGCGTCACTCATTCATTGCGGATGGCCAGAGCCCGCTATCACTTTTTTAGGAGCTCATTGCAGTTCGCACAGGAAGCATTGGCAAGGGGGAACAGCGAGAAACAAAAAAACAAAAAATAAAGTACAAAACAACAGATGATGACAGTCTTAGAAAAATGAGAACAGTAAATATAATGAAAAAGAAAGGCGAGCTAAGACGCATTTTTTTCCCCCTCACGTCGCCGGTAGAATTCGCCGACGACAGCGAGAACTGAAGGGCCGGCTTGGGGACCATCAGTTGTCAAAGCTTGCCGGACTTTGACAGCACCATGTGGCCTTTTGTGACGATGCCGACCGTCGTCTGCCGGTGCCGGGCAGCCCTCGATGACACGGGCCGCCAGACCTCTGTGCCCAACATGCGACAACGTGAAACGACCTCCGAAACGACGATTCGCCGACGAGTGGCCTTTTGGTAATGCGAACTGGCCTCTCAAACTACACACACACACACACACACAAACCAGCCCAGGGCGATGCTAACTGGTCACCGTCAACCACAGTCTTCCTCCTCCATGCAACCACCACCAGTCTTCTCTCTCGTCCTCCCCATCCCCACTTCCCATTTTCTCAAAAAAAGTTCTTGTCCCCTAAGTCTTCCGAGCTCTTCTCTCCCCCAACCCCATTTTTTATCACCGGCATTATTTTGTCAAAAGTCCTCGCAGCTGTCCGCCGTGGGGCATGCTAGGAAGGACCATCAAGATGGCTGCACCAAGGACAGGACCGCCGCGTGGCTCTGCAGTCGTGCCCCATCGTGGAAGAGATGCCGCAACGGTCGCGCTCACCCTGGTCGGCCGATCGGTTGGTCGTCGGTGTGCCGATGCTGAAAGGCCGTGGGGCGGCTCTAAGGCGATGCGGCGTATCAGGGACTGCGACAGTGTCGCCTGCCACCCCTGGGGCACCGCCGGAGGGAAGGGTGGGCGGTGGCTGCCTGGGAGGGCGGTCGGGCGACGGCTCTCATTTGCCACCCTCGGCGGCCGACTTCTCCGTCAGCTCCTTCATCTTCTCGACATAGTCTGAGAAGGAGTCCCTGAAGCGCGACCACGACTTCTCTGGAATGGTGATGGCCGCACGGAAATTGTTCTTCACCTGCAATGACATCACAATTACGACACAGCCTTTTGTTTACTTCATGACTGCGACAGAGCATGTAGAATGAAGACACAGGAGGAAGAGACAGAATGGCCCCTTCAATAACAAAGCACCACTTTCGGCACAAGAAGATGCGCAGTAAGGGGAAAAACGCACAAAATGAAAACAGGAGTGCGAACGCCACTTTGAAATGCAATTCTGTACACGTTTTATGACAGAACACAACAACAAGGACCATCAAGAGGCCGCAAGAGAATGTTGCAAGAGAATAAGGAGGAGCCAAGAACTACCAAGTGAAAGCGAAGTGCCTCGAAAGTACGCATCTCATCTCGATCATCTGCTCGGGGACATAATGAATTCAATAATGTCTTTAACGCATGGAGAAATGTAGAGTTACTAAAACTGATTCGCAATGGTATTTGGGGAAATTGTTTTTTGAAAGATTTGAATTGAAGGAAACGATGACCTCAGCAATTTATTTGTGTTAATGTCTTATCTAGTTGCTAGGTGGCATTGCAACTCCACAAGACCTTTTGTGGTAACCCTCGTGGCAATTTTTGCAAACTGTCGGCGTAAGAGTGGATAAAGCAAGGCCGATTGCAGGCGAATTCTCTTCTCTGGCCACAACGCTTATGCCTCAATCCAATCCAAGTTATCTAGAAAGTACTCTATATCTGTCCTATCAAACGAAAAATTGGCCCCGTATCTGCATGTAATCTGCAAATGTCGTCGAAAGACAACAGTCTTGCGTGTGGAGAGAGTGAACAATGAATTTGTTGTTCTACCCAAGGAAATCGGTGAATGGTATTTTGGAGGCGCTGCATTAGAGTGCTTCGAGCGTGCAGCGGAGGCGAACGAGCGCGTCAAGTCACGTCACACTTGAGACATGAGGGCCACCTGGCAGTCTTCTTGCAAAACGAAGCGCATGGCTCTGAGACAGGTGTGCGCGCCCGTCTCAGAGGTAATAAGGTGAGGAACGCAAGGCGATGGGTAGGTGCCACCAACATCGCGTCTTAGCAAAGCGTTGGAAATACTCACCTTTACGTGCAAGCGTTGCGTGGTCAGCGCAGCGTGATAAGCGCTACGGTCCTTAAAATTACTTATGTATGCATTTTCCAGTAAACGATGCACGTGTAGAATATATACGTGTTGTTATGGTGCCCCAGACTTGCACAATAATTGCTTATTATCTGACAAGTGCACAAGTATGAACGCTAAACCTTGAGCAACATTGGTGGGCGCTGCGGATGGGGTCGGCCGTTTCAAGTACCCGGTGCCGTTAAGAGTGAATAAACAGACAAATGTACAGACAGGCAGACCAAAATTTTTGCGTCGAAGGTCCCCAAGGAAGACTATCATCTTTAAAAGGGTGTCTCTGTCTGTTCTCTTCCAAGCAGATGACAAAATGATTGACAGCACTGCCTTTTACGGTTGCTGTTCTCACTTGCGATCAATGCACAAGCCTCAATGAATGCCATGCTGAGTGACAGAATGCTTTATCACAAAATACGCACAAGACTGCGCCCACGAAGGTTTCCACACCAACTTGCCATGCATTTTATACAACCTGACGGTGCCATCTAAGGCTTTGTTGTAGTAAGTAGTAGTAGTAGTAGTAGTAGTAGTAGTAGTAGTAGTAGTAGTAGTAGTAATAGACTTTTATTTAGCCACAATTTACAGGCCGAGCATTTCGACCGCCTGTGCGACCAGTCGACGCTGTTCTTCTTCCCCTTCGGCCCTGATCCAGTTGAGCCAGGAGGTGATGGAAAGGGATGGGAGAGGGTAATAGCTGGATTGCTGAGCAGTTGGGCAGTAAAACAGACAGTGTGACAGGTTGGCATGTAGGGAGGGGCAATTAGGACAGCAGGAGTTAGACCTATATTTATGAAGAAAATGGCGAGAGGGGGTTATCAGGCAATTCCTTTGGATGTGCCGTAGAGTTCGAGCCTCGAGCACAGTGAGTGATGGGTGAGGGGGAGGGTAAAGACGCTTGTCGAGCCGGAGCTGGAGATATACCTCCTTGATAGTGTGACGCAAGGAGATCTGCCCATCGTTATTCGCAGAGCTCTCACTGTCTTCCGAAAGTGTGGGCCAGGGAATGAACGGTGCCCGGTGCAATATATCGCGGACAAGCTGATGAGCTAGCTCATTGCCGTTAATACCTGAATGCCCAGCAACCCAGCGGAGGAAGACAGTAGAGGGTTAAAGAGCAGAGGCCGCTCGCTAGACCTCCTGTTGAAGAGCAGGGGGCAACGTGTTGTTCTGTATGTGACAGATGGCAGCGTGCGAGTCGGAGTAAATTGTGTACTGGGGGAAAGAAGGGAGTGAGGAAAATGACTGCATGGCGTGGACCATGGAAAGGACCTTGAGCGAAAGTACATTTGGCGGGTGCAAGTATGGCCCACTGGTGTGCGTGTCAGGTGCCAAAAGGTGTGGATGGTAGATATAGTAGCCACACGAGCCCCGAGGAGCCATGTATGAGGCATCCGTGTAGGCAACTCCCTGTGTAGAGAGAGGAGGAGAATGATGATGTGCCGCCGCACGGCGCCGGCCGGCGTGAAGAACGAAAGACATATTGGATGGGTGGGGAAGGATGCGAAGGTTAGAAGCAGCGGTGCTAGCGGCAGAAGGCAAGGTAGGATTGGAAACGGGAATGTGAGGGATACCGGCTTGGGCCAATAGCCATTGTACCTTGACGAGTGAGAGAAAGACGGGCAATCTGAGAGTCGTGGTGCAGAGAAATAAGAGAACGTAATGGATCGAAGAGGCCTGTGGCGAAGAGCTTAGTGGTAGAGGTAGTGACAGGGAGGTTTAGAGCTGCCTTCTTTGTAGAGGCCTAATAGAGCTCTTTCGAGTGTGTTGAGTTGGATTTGGGTGAATTGAACATAGGGTACAAAGTACAAGAACTTGTTAAAGGCGAGCGCATGTGCATCCCGGCACGCATTAACCTCGTGGAGCCCCGACTGCTGAGTGACAACGCGTCGCAGGAGGTGATGTAGCGTGATGTAGGGCCTGCACGTTTTCTGTCGCGTGCAAAGGGAAGCCAAGAACTTTGCATTGCTGAACAGTGGGGATGAGAGAGCTAGAAAGATGTAGGGAGATGAGGGTGTTGTGGGAGCGCTGGTACGCAGACCGGTTTAGCAAAAGTAGTTCACATTTCTCCGGTGCAGGAGACAGGCCAGCAATAGCGAGAAAAAAAGCTATAAGGTCCAGGCCACGTTGCAAAGTATCCTGCACATGGCCGGGACATCCAGACGTACACCAAAGAGTGATGTCGTCTGCATAAAAAATATGGTGGAGGTCAGGTATTCGGGACAGTTGGGAGACAAGGGGGGCCATAGCCATATTAAATAGAGTAGGAGATAGTATGGCACCTTGAGGAGTGCCGCGGGTGAGGGAGTGTGGGTTAGAGAAATGAGTATCGACTCTAAAGCGAGCAACTCGATTTGAAAGAAAGGATCGGATGTATAAATACATGCGGGAGCCACATGACAGGGAGGAGAGCTGAGAGAGTATGTGGTCATGACTCACGCCATCGAATGCCTTCCGTACATCGACGGTTACAAGCGCATGGATCTGACTGCGAGAAGGTGAAAGAAAAGTATGCTGAAGAATAGGGAACATGTCCTGCGCACATACGTGGCGTCGGAAGCCAATAAGAGAAGGAGGGAAAAACTCTTTCGCCTCAATAAAATCAGACAGTCGAGTCAAGGCTATTTGCTCAAGAGTCTTGCCAACGCATGACGTCAAAGAGATAGGGCGAAGGTTAGAGAGAGATGGAGGCTTGCCCGGCTTCGGAATCATGCAAGTTAGAGAGGATATCCAAGAGCTTGGCAGGCAGCCGCTGTTCCATGCTTCGTTGAATGTGTGTAAGAGAAATTCCTTCGCGTTGTCGGGGAGATTACGTAGTGTAGTATACGTTATCTCATCCTCACAGGGAGCCGAGCGGGTAGATTGAGTGGCTAAGGCAGCTTCCAGCACCCTGAGCATGAATGGGCGGTCCAGGTTTGGGTTAGCTTCGCCCCAGTAATCTGGGTAGGAAAGTGTGAAGGGGGGTGGGAGATACAGAGATTTTAAATTGTCAAAAACATCAGATGGATTCCCTTGAGTGAGAGCTTTAGCTAGAGTAGGAGCAACGGCAGGCTTGGTACCTAAGAGATACCTAAATAGAGACCATGTAGAGCGCGAGTGCAGTGCAAAGTCAAGGCCGTCACACAGCGTGTTTCAAAGAGAGTGCTCGAGGGAAGTGCCGTAAGCGATAATTTCAGCCCGCAGACTATCAATGCGGGAGGAAAGTTGGACGTTGTGTGGCTGGGAGCCGAGAGAGCGTTTCAAATGTTGATGACGTCGCATTAAACGGAGGAAGTGAGGATCGGGGTCATGAATGGGGAGTTGAAAACGAGTGCGGCGACTACGGGATGTTATTGCTGTGGAGATCCGCGACGTCCAGTCATCATGAGTTTTAAAGGAGTCAGACAAAAGGTTATAACAGAATGCTTCCCAGTCAGTGTGAGCGACTCGTTTCCACCTGTTGTGGGAAAGAGGGGTGGTGATGTGTATGAGAAAGTGATCACTGAAAAGGTTTTCAGCGGACATCTGCCAGTGAAAAAGAAGGGAACTCTGAGAAAAAGTGAGATCAGGTGCAGTGGAGCGCTGTGAAACAGTGCCCCCTCGAGTAGGGGTATCAGGGGTATTTAAGAAGGGTGAGATGGCATTCCTGGGCGAGGCAGTGTAGAAGGCAACCTGGTTTGAGTGTTCAGGGGTAACACGAGAGCCTATAGGAGCATTAAAGTCACCCCCAAGGAGGATATGGGTGGTCGATGGAAAGGGAGTGCAGGAATTCGCCAAGAGCACTAAACAAAGAGGACGTGACAGGGGGGTTGTAAAAAGACATCAGAGCGAGAAAAATACGAGTAGATGGTTCGTAATAGACCACACCAATTAAATATTTCAGGAGGGGGGAGGGTACGTCTAGTGGATTGAACAAGAACGTCATT